TCCCGGTCGCCGCTTCGCGGCGACTCGGTATCGCTAGACTCACTACACATGCGCTAGCTCCGAGTGCGCTGGCTCCGGGTGCGCTGGCTCCGGGTGCGCTTGCTTTGGGCGCGCGAGCTCTGGGTGCGCGTCCCGTTTCCCCGCTTTCCCGTTTCCCCGCTTTCCCGTTTCCCCGCTTTCCCGTTTCCCCGCTTTCCCGTTTCCCCGCTTTCCCGTCTCTCCACTTTCCCGTGTCCCCGCTTTCCCGTCTCTCCACTTCCCCGTGTCCCCGCTTTCCCGTACTCCCGCTTTTACTCCATATGTTCTCCGAAAAATCCATACCCTCCAAGGCTAGAGCAATTTTCAGCGAGATTCATTAGTAGAGAGACAGAGGCCAATGATGACGGCAACCCCCGATAGCCTTCTTAGGAGCTCCCGAGAATCCACCTTCTCATGGTGATCGGTCCAGCCGATAAGAAATCCTGAGAAGTCCCTTCCTTCCCTTGATGAAATCTTTGATTCTCGGTGGGGGGACCACTCAAATAATTTTTTTTATGGTGGGAGGACCAATCACATGAGAACGACGACCCTCATATGACCCTCCTGAAGCTCCCAAGAACCCATTTCTGAATTTTTGCGGCGATCGGCTCAGGCATTCGTGAATTTTGCGAATTTCCGATTTTTCAATTTTTTTCCGAGTTTTCGAATTTTCGCGGGTGGACCGCTCAAATAATTTTTTTAGGGTAGAAGGACTCATCGCACCCCCCTAATAATTTTTTTTTTAAGGTAGAAGGACTCATCGCATCGGACTCATCGCACCCCCCTATAACCACCGCTGGATCCCCCAGAACACGCTTCTAAATTCTCACGACGATCGGTTCAGCCGTTTTCGAGTCTATGGGGTACTCCGGACAGACAGACAGACAGACAGACAGACATACGTTTTTATTTATATAGATATCGCATATCAGCTGTTGCCGCCATGTTGAGTGGTTGTGCCAAGTGTCGGCTCCCGATAGATCTGGGAGTTTCCTGGGTTATATGTAGCCTAGGTTATGGAAATGTGGTTCATGGCACATGCCGTGGGCCAGAGGTGCCTGAAGCCTCAAAATTCGGACCCTGTGGCTGCTGTCGGGTCCTCGTGAGTACGAATGAGGGTTTGACCGAGCGTCTATGCAAACTTCAAGAGGAAAACCTGGAACAACGCGCTGCAGTTTTGAAACTTCAGGAGCTGGTTGATCGGCTTGTGAGGGAAAGTCTGCCGCCTGTTCACCCAGTCGACAGGCCCCCAATCGGCCGGCCTCACCCCATTCCCCCGAGCGCCTTAAACGTCGGAAGACGGAAAGTGCGGAAACACGAGAAGAAGAAACCGCGGCAAGATCACACACCGCCTTCCGGAGAAGGCAATGACGTCATCCCACCCTCCCAAGATGCACTGCCGAAGGGAGCCCAAGGAGGTGCTACAGGTGGAGATGAGGCTCAGTCATCCGAAAAGAAGACAGCTACCAAGAGAGACCGAGAAACTGCTGATATGTCCGACACTTTCGAACTATCTGTCGGTGAAGAGACCTCTATGGAAACTGATACCAATGTGGCCAAGGCCTCTAACGAAGCTAAGGAGATACTTTCGAATCACAAGGACGGTGCTGATAGAGAAGTTACCGAGGCCAAGAAGAAGCGGAAAAGACCACCGGTCAGGCTCTGCTCCGGGACGTCTGGAGCTAAGGATGACATTCTCGAGTTTGTGACTAGAGAACCTGTCTTCCACGCAATATACGTTGACGGAATGAGCTCGAAGACCACAGCTGGTCAGATGCTCAAGTGGTTCAAAGCCCGGAGAGTACAACCGTTCGCAGTGTGGAAACTGAAGAAGAAAGGCGCTGACTCAGGTTTCTGCATTGGATTGCGACCGGAGCATTTGAAAATCTGCTCCAATCCCGACTTCTACCCGCAAGAAATGAGATACCGGCGCTGGGTAGGACGCCCGCCGCCCCCAGCGACAGTTATACATCACATCGAAGACAAACCGTCTGGCGATGAGGAGAGACCGAAAGAATGACTACATCACAGGCCAAGGAAGAGTCACGGTGAATCTGCAGCCGTTATTCTTTGGAATTGCGAGGGATTGAAGGGCGCTCTTGGGCGTCTCGAATCTCCGTGCTATTTCCAGGGGAACGACATTGTTATTCTCACTGAGACCTTCCTCAGAGAGGAGTGTCCGCTGGACGGAATGTCGGCTTATAACTCCTTTGCAACTGTAAATCCTGGTGCTGGTAGACCATCAGGAGGTATCTCCATTTACATCCGGTATGGAGGACCGAAGATGAAAATTGTACACAGCGATGAGTGTAGCTTGTTGTTGAGTTGCAATAACTTCAGTATGGGTGCATTCTATTTGCAACCTAACTGTAGCATCGAAGAAGTACTGTCTATTGTTGGGGATAGGATGGCGAAGCTCGATTTCACGAAGTTGGTCATTGTTGGCGGTGACTTCAACTGCCGCATAGACTCTCCGTCGACGACCAATAGAGGGAGTATACTATTGGAATTCATGGAAAGCTTGGGTCTGCTTTGCCAAAACCGAGCAGAAGAACAAACGTACATCTGCTTCAATGGCGGAAGTACAAGAGATCTCGTTTTCACCAACGGCATCGCCAGAAACATCAAAGTTGAAGACCTCGAGGTGAGGAAACACCTACCGATGAAGCTCCGGATCCCACTCAAAGGATTCAAATCTCCGCCACAGATGAGAACCCTAAGCAGGAAGATTCGTAAAAGGAAGCTCGGAGCTGTGGGGCGCGCATCGGTCCCGATCTCCTCTGACAGCGATCTCAACGAGATCGAAGCCACCATCACCGCCAAAGTGATGAGTTGCTGCGACAGCCGGAAACAATGGAAGCGCACTGCTCAACGTTGGTTCAATTCAACTTGCTACCGCTCTCGCCGAGAAGTCCTCGCACTTCTACGCGAATCCAGATCCGACCCTGCGGCCAGGACAAGATACTGTCAGGCCAGAAGACAGTACCACTCAGTACCGATCTCAATGAAAAAGAATTTCGAGCTTGAGGAGGAGCGCAAACTCTTGCTCGAAGTGCAGCAGCGCCCATATCTGTACCTGAAGAGGAGAAGGAAAGGACTGGAACCGCTGCTTCAACCGGAAGAAGTGAAATGCCACTTCGATAGACTGCTTTGGAACGAAGACGCCTCTGATAGGCCCTCGGTTCTGAGTCAGCTACCGCTCACCGCCGAACAGCACATCATCAATCAACTCTTCACAGAAGTGGAGATTTCTCATGTGCTGTGCAGCCTCCCATCGAGGAAGAGTGCTGGACCCAGTGGTTGTTACTACGAGCATTGGCGTCAGACGGAGAAAGTGATCCTTCGGGATCTGCGGATCTTGTTCAACAAGATTCTTGACCAAGGCAGACTGCCTTCGACCTGGCACAGGGCTCGCCTGTCTCTTCTTTTTAAGGGCGGAGTCCACGACAATAGGTCGGATCTCAATCTCTATCGGGGCATCGCATCCGAAGAGACTTTGAAGAAAGTTTTCTGCAAGCTTCTGATATCCAGGATGGAACCACTTCTCGACGAGTCGCTCCCTTGCGAGCAGTTCGGCTTTCGCCGTGGGGTCGGGACGCTGGACGCGATTCACTACTTCCTTTCCGAGGTCGAGAGAACCGTATCGGCACATGGAAAGATTTATGCAGTCTTCATTGACTGCACCAAGGCTTTCGACAAAGCATCGAGGGCGTTGATGCTGCAGAGTTTCGCTGACGTTGGGGTCGGAGGCCAGGCTCTGAAGATTATCGACAGTTTTTTCGGTGAGGATCATCTTGAGATCCAGTTACAGCACGAGAAGGTCCATGTCTCGCAAAACGACGGGACTCCGCAGGGCAACCCGCTCAGTTGTCTCGCATTCATACTGTTGATTCGCAACCTTGTAGATTTCATAAGGTCAGAACCCAAAGCTTTCGTAGCTTTATACGCGGACGACATTGTGATTGCCCACCCCAACCTGAATGGGCTTCGCTCTGTACTACCGAGGATTTCTACCTTGCTACGTGCCCGAGGGCTGGAAATCAATCGAAATAAGACCAAGGTCGTCAAATTCGGACGCTCAGCTCGTCTGGGAAAAGACGATCACCTGAAACTCGAGGGACAGCCCCTGGAGTTCGTGAAAACCTTCAAGTACCTGGGAGTCCGCTTCCACTACTCTGTGAGCAACTTCCATGCTCACGTCGAAGAGCGAGTGTGTCAGGCCCTCACAGCGTCATACGATGACATCAAGAAACTAAACCGCCTGTCCCTGGATTCCGCCATCATTCTCTTCAAGATGAAACTGATGCCAGTCATCAGCTACGGACTAACGAGAATATGGAAATACTTGACCGTCAAAGATCTCAAGAAGTTAGAACAATGTTTCACGCTCTACATGAAACGGGCGCTGTGTCTCAACCGCGCGGCCCGCAGCCGTTACGTCTACGTCCTGAGTGGGGCACCACTCATGATTGACGTGATGAGGCAGAGAATTCGAGGCGACCAAACCGCTGCCTTCAGTTGTATGCTCCAAGAATGGAGTAAAAAGGTCAACGACGCTCTGACCGAAGTCAGTCGAGAAGACATCTTCAAGAAGCCCGAGCTGTGGGCAGGCTCTGGGCTGGATGATAGGCATAAGTTTACTAGGTATTTAGTTCACGGCTACCATCACAGGATCTGTACGAACAGTGAATTTCATGATGCTGATGAAAATGTTTGTACGTGTAGATATTGTGGCCTGCTATGTGGGAAATACCACGCCACCCGGTGTCTCGCTGGAAAAGTAAGCCTACACGGATTAAGTCGAATGTAAATATGGTTGATTTGTACAGGAAGCAGCATCCTGAATCCTTGTACCATGCTCATTAAGAAGCGCAATAAATCTATATATATATAGATATCGCATCCATCTTCAGGAATCATGTCGACGCTGCAAAACTTCTGTGAAGGCAAGTATCCCGCGCCACAACCTCTTGCTCCCGGGAAGAAGTTTCTCGGTCGCCGCTTCGAGTTGCCTCCGAGAGTCCTCCGTCGCCGAACTTTCAAAAATCCGGACTGAGAAGAAGCGGGCCGGATTATGCTAAATCTATTCAGCGGGAAAAAAGTTCATCGAAGCTTGGCTGATCTGAAGAACGTTTCCCAGCGCCACGCGATGATACCTTCGATATCAACGATCCCTGTCATCATTTCTAAATTGGCTGCCGGGAAAACATTTATTTACCATGAATGCGAAGTTCAAAAGTCGCCGCACATCGGTGAATATTTGATGATTACCGTATTTCTTCTAATACACGGGCATGCCCGTCTATTCTTCAATCCCCCCGGGGGTGCCCGTTCACTTGAAGGTACCCGTTTATTTTTCAATCTTGCTGGATGCCACCGAGTCCGAAAGGAAGACAGCACCCTCGATTCGTCCTTCCATTCATATCCATATATACATACGTTCATGAACTACTCTTAAATTATTCGTCGTTATCATCCTCGGAGCGAACTTCAAGGCTATCATCTACCTCAGTTTCGCAGAGCGTTGCGCAAGGATACTCATCTCGAGCGACAATAAGTCGAGAAAAGCCGGACGGGGTGGCTCCATCGGGTCGAAAGCACAGAATTTTGTAATCCTCGGAGCCATCCAACGCCACTGTGATTCCGCAGTTTTTGAATGACTTTGCGATCAGATCCTCTGGCAGTGCTTTCCACGAACCGGCAATCCATTTGAGATACGCATCCATCGGTGGAGCTGCTGAATTGCCGCCCTTAGTCAAGGGTTTCTCACCGTTTGCCATCCAGTCCTCATACGATTGGCGAATCCTAGCTTTGAAAGGTGCGTTCCAACTTACATCGGGCGCCTGCACGAACTTCGTGCAGCCTCCTGGGACGACTGCGGTATCGGTCTGGAGCTTCCTTAGAACTTCTTTTGTTTGAGTGCTAGTATGACATCGAAAACTATCCCAAACAAGAAGTCTCTTGCCTGATAGAGAGCTCCCGAAGATTCTCCGGAGGTAAGTTTCAGTCGTTTGATCATTCATCCACGTCGTTCCTTCCCAGCAGAGCTCCAGACTACTCCCGAATTCAGCGATGATTTTCGGAACTGGGCGCTTTCTGTTCAAGATTACGAATGACTTGCTCTTAATTCCGTCTGATCGCGCAGTCAGCATGACCGTTATGCGAGCTTTATTGTGACCGGTTGACATGACAGGTACATCTTTGGCTCCCTTTTCTGCAACTGTACAACTATTAGATGCATCCAGGAAAACAGCGGTCTCGTCCTCGGCGTATATGTGGCTGTAACTACACGCTCGCCGAAGTTCTGCCAAGAACAAGACAAACTTGATCAAAACATTCTCGTATTCTGACGGTGGTTTCTGGCATACGGTCGTCGGTCGCCGATTCGCCAATCGATGACGCTTCATGAATTTATCGAGCCAGCCTCCGCTAGCATCGGAACCTAGCGTCGAAATTTTGCTGGCATACTGACGAATCATTGACCGTGTGACTCTGAGCTGCTTACGACGTTGATCTCGGATAAAATCTTAGACTAAAGCGTCTGTTTCCTGGTCCTAGAGTGGCCTTCCAGCACCAGCCAGTCTCTTTCCTTCACCATTATTTTTCTTCTTGAGATCCAGTTCCTGTTAAGTCCATTGCTGAACCCGACTGCGGGTGACACCGAAGTTTCCAGAGGCTTTTTTCTTGGACTTTTCTTCGGCGAACTTCACCACTTGTAACTTGAAAGATAAGCTGTAGCTTTTCTGCCTCGGCTTGGTTGTGGGGGTCATCGTGTGAGATTTCATTCCGAATCCTTGGAAAGTCTTCGGGATTGACACAGATCTACTCCAAACACGATTCCGCGCAAGTCCTGCATGCGATTCCAAGGTTCCGTCCGATAGAGCTCTCCCGTCGTTTAATCGATTCCGCGCGCTGTCTCCCTCTCAGTCTCACATCAGGTTAGGGGTACCCCTTTATTAGAAGGTGCCCCTTAATTTTTCAGTCAGCCCGGGGGGTGCCCGTTTATTAGAAGGTGCCCGTTTATTAGAAGGTGCCCGTCTATTAGAAGAAATGCAGTATATCCGTCATGCAAGCACCGAATCGCCGCCCTCAACCCTCAACGCGCGGACTTCGATTCCCATCTGAATCGCATGATAGGAAATTGTGGAGCCTGCTGTGTTTGTCGCAACACGAAGGATTAAACTTAAAAGATTGATTCATTGATTTATTAACCATCCCTGGTGTTACAAGATTTGGATTGTATCCAGGAGGCCCCATGCGCGGGGGCGGGTCTTCTCAGCTGGTTATAGGTTGGTGGATCCGACGTTTGCAGGGGACGTATCTCTTCGTCTCCCGCTCCAATCTCTCTAGACTTCTTTTGGTTCGCTCTACAATTTCTCGTGTTGAGTCTTCGTGTAGGCCTAGTCTTTTGCGGATCTCTGCCTCAGAGCTATTCTCTTCGTCGCACTCCATGATGACGTGTTCCAGGGTTTCATTGTGGCAGTCGCATAGCTCACACTTTTCACTTTTCACTTCATCTATTTCTTCGAACCTGGCCCTGAAGGACTTTGTTTTGAGGGAACCGGCACGGGCACCTGCCAGGAGGGTACTCCCTCGTGTGTTGTCATAAACATGATCAATTGTGCCCATGTTCATTTTGTGTTGCCTGTATCTTTTCAGGCTCGGTTTTGTTCCCATGCCCTCCCTCCATTCCTCGTCAGTGAATGTTCTGATGCAGTCGCTTACATCGTTGCGGAAGGCTTTCCTTTGACGATCCTCAGATTCCACATGTTGCGATTCATCGAACTCGAAGGCCCAGCCTTATATACTCAGCTCGAAGCTCGAAGAATTGGAGTATACGATATTCCTAGCCGAAACTGTGCAAATCGATCGAGACAGAATCCATGTCATCATATCATGTGTCATGTGTCTTCTCCACGCGCCAATGTAGTAAAAGATCGGGAACCTCCCAAACATTCAATATTCATTTCTCAAATGTTTCCAGTACTAAGACCCCGTTCCATTTTGCGGAGCAACGTCACATCCAGAAATTCCACGCTTCATGAATTATAATTGCGAGAAACAGCATGTGAGAATACAGACATGTTGTCCGGCACGCAGGCAGATCACGGCTCACGGTAATAGTCGAAAGGGCAGAACTTAGTCCTCCAAAGTATCGCTCTCGTCGAAACTCTCCGCATCGATCTCATCGCCCGAATCGGAATCGAATACGTCCACTACTTCGCGACTGAAGGCTCTGTCAAAACCATTGACGATACTCTCGATCGGAACGGCCTCGAAAGCGTCCCTGACACGGGTAGCGATCCCAGCATAGCTCAAGCGTTCCCGACGACCACTCTCGGTGTAGGAGGCGCTCTCCTCCTTTGACATCCAGTCCTCCGAAAGTCTCCTCAAGTTGTCTTTAAAGACTTTGTTTACGCTCAGATCGAGCGGCTGGTTCCCTTAGTCCTCCTGGTATTATCCCAACCTTGGCATGATTCCGCAGCTCATTTTTACTCCATCCGCAAGGGGGCAGCAAGCCGAATCCATGATGAGTAGAGACCGTGACTTCATGCACTAAAAAAAACGGAAATATGCATGCAAATATGCCCTTAAAACAGCCGATAAATGCACGATAGAAAGCAGGACATGCATTTGAAAAACTAATAATGAGGAGGCTCACACGTTAATAATTACCATCCGATCGGATATATTTACACGAGTCAGCTCGATTAGAAGCCATTCGCTCAATCTGAACTATGGATTGCAGTATACGACGAGATGCATCTTTAAGTTTTTGAAAGTCATATTGTGACGACGGGCACTCAGTACGTATTTAAGACTAGAGAAGCTCCGTTCGACGTCGACAGACGTGATGGGCGCATACTTTGTCAAATACCTCGTAATAATCGTGATGTTCATATCAGTCCCCCGGCGATCGGGAAAAAGCGAGTTTTCCAATAATTTAAAAGTACGCGGGATAAGAGAGCGAACCTCTCTGTTCATAACATGCAGACGAGAATAAAGTGTGTTCAGTGTATGACGTCAAGTCGAAATGCCGGTGTCTTGAAGATCTAGCGTTTTGTCAGTGAAAACATAGGGAATCCCAGCCCGAAGGCAAGCAGCCAACCCCGATCCGAACTATACTTCACACTGGTGCCGTGCCAGGATCATAAAGGCATTGCTTTCGCCGGAGAGTATTCCGCTCCGTGTTCAAGCGCCGGGTGACGATGACGAAGCCCTCTGCAATACCGAAACCGTCGAAGCCCATGACTCCGGCGGTGATCAGATCCCTCCGCACGAAATGCAGAAATCGGGTTTCTGCGATGATTGACCAAGTCAATGCAGTCAGAGCAGAGCACCCGATTGAAGCCAAGCAGGAGGAGCTCGAACCGATCCTCATCCAGCTCAAAGAGGCCTTCGAGAAGATCGAGGCTTATGACCAACTCATCTTCGCCCATGACGAGATCGAGGAGGAACAGCGACTGAGAGATATCGACGAAGTTGAGGACTTGAATCAGCCAGCGCGCCAAGTAATAGCCGAGCTCACTGCGGCTTTGAGCCGAAACAGATCTCCATCTGCACATTCAACCCCAA